GAATTCTAGTGTAATTCTGTTGGAAAAGTAAAATTCTAAGCAGAAATATTGTTTCTGACGGAGAGACCTCTTGTATGAACCTCATACTTCTGCTGATAAGATAGAATTCTAGTGTAATTCTATTGGAAAAGTAAAATTCTAAGCAGAAATATTGGTTCTGACCGAGAGAGCTCTCGTGTGAACCACATGATTCTGCTGATAAGATAGAATTCTAGTGCAATTGTGCTGGAAAAACGAATTTCTAAGCAGTGCTGCACGCGTTGTGTAAGAATTACCTAAGAGTAGACAATTCAATTTTTTAAAACTTTTATAACAAAATTCTTGAATTCTGCTTAAGAAGAATTTTGCCACTGCTGGGAACTATAACTGGAAAATGAAAAGGTGAAAATAAAAATATAAAATAAAAATAATGAGAATGATCTCATATTTGAATTCTTTCACTTGTAAGTGAAACAATGATGCTATGTAATAGATTCAATATAGGGGATTATGAATGTTAATGAGCTACTATGACTATCGAATTTCGCGTTACAAAGCACTGTGCCAGCTTCAGAAAGATAAACCTATTTTTTCGTAAACATAGCTAGATTTTTCGAATGAGCGCTACTTCACTACCTGACAACACATCGGTTGAGACACAAACAACATGACAACTTACTCATTTTTGGTACGCTGACCGGAGATTGATGTTGTCCAAACACAAAAATTGGTTTATATTGAGCCAACAGACGAAGTACGATTAAAATATGCACAATATTTGGTTGTACAGATAAAATTTCAGATGGCACATCATTTGAACTTTTATGGGCGGAAGTTGTCACGAATAAATATCGACTAACAGTACCATCGGACATAGCATCACTGTTGTATTGTTGACATATAGATGACAGCATATTTCCTGTTGATGCACCAAAAATATTGATGGAGCCACGTTTAATAAAATACGATGAAGATCCCGTTGTACGAGTAACGTTATTCATAATATCATATGCTTGACATAAGAGTTTGGAAGCAAATATTTTCATATCATTGGCTGGCATATTGCCTTGGTAAACTCCAAATCGAGTATTAAAAACATCAAGTTCATCACTTGAAACAAATACGTTCTCCTAAAATAGAAAAAACGTTGAATGGCATGTCATCAAATCGACTACAAAGATCTTATATAAGTCACACAGATGTATCATCTTCTCCTCATGGATCATCAGTTGTTTTTGCTATTTCATACCAAGAATATTCTCCATTTATAACTTACTCGTTTTGAGAGTCGTTGAAATAAAGCTAGTTCCGTTTCATTGTTGACAATTAAATCAACTGTACTTTGTACTTCTTCATCTTTAATAACTTCTGTGCATGGTTTCGAAAAAAAAGCAGGAAAGATTTTCCGCAATACACTGATGCTATTGTTGAACACTCGAAATAATCCGGATTTATTGGTACCTGAACAAATACGAAACGATTAAATTAAGATATGAAAAATATCTAAATCAACTCACCAGGTTCACCAATTAAATGAATGAATAAATTCATTGACGTAAGAAAGCCAACAGCATCAGGATTGAAAACTTCCACCCCATCAAGCATCATAGCAGCATGTACTAACATACCGAATACGAATGGAGCAGTATCAACTCCTAATGCTTCATGTTGTTCAAAAAACCGAAGTAATGCCACTTGATTAAATAAACCAAAAACTGGCTGAATTTCAAATGCAATTGGTGCAGAATTCGTCAGTTTGAAAATATTCGAACTGATTTGTGCTGTAAAAGGATCAGATTTGCCAGGCGGCATAACTAAAACTAATTTAAAAAACGTACAAATTATTCCTATACACTAAAATGACGATTTGATCAGAAAGATCTTTCTTTATTTTAAGGTGACTTCTTACAACGTTAGTGCGCGGTATTCAAATAACAAATACTTACTTTTAATAACGATTCAATCGACTAAGTGCTGCAAAAAAATCAGCAAATCTACCACAATGAATGTAGAACTATTAAGCCCAAGAGAAAATCTAAAACATAGGCACTTGGTATTTGTCATTCAGTTTTCGCACACTCACTTGCTATGTCAATAGGTAATTTAATGAATTGTTTGACTTGTTTTTATTTCCTGATTTTCGAATTTCACGTTGCTTCGTAAGTAAAATTCAACACGTTAAAAATCTAAAAAAGAAACAGACAGCACTTTGCCAATCAGATCTTTGCGGAATTCAAAGTAAGAGAATTTCGTCATGGTAAGGAAGCGTGTGTGGAAACCATCGGTTAATCAATATCTCTTTACCTCAACATAACAGTCTTTACACGTGCAGTGTTTGCATAGACATCTATAGTTCAACGCGTCAGACGTCTGATTCGCCTATACAATGCATTGAACGGAAAGAGAATGAACATTTCTATCGTATGTGTAATGACAGGAAGAAGGAGAAAGAAGAAAAAGAATATGTCTTTACACATTTGATTAGTTCGTATCTGTAGTTTTATAATTCTTTTTTTTCGTGTGAAATAATATATTTTAATGAATTGTAATGCGTTTTAATGGGTGTTAATACATTTTAATGAATTGTAATGCGTTTTAATGGGTGTTAATACATTTTAATGCGTTTTAATGCATTTTTAATCTAAGAATACACAAGAAGAAAATGGTAAAATCAAGCACATCAATATGGAATTCTATCGAATTGGAAATTTGATAATTTGTTTGTTTTTATACAAAAGAGGAGAAAAGAAGACAATAAAAGATGCTGAGAAACAACGACAGGAGTACAATAAATAAACGGCAGAGATGAAAAAGCGATAACTAATATTAGTGTAACAAAAGATCTTTTAAATTATCGTATGGAACGGCAGTGTGTAAAAAACCTCAAGCAAACGCATCTGCTTTCCGTATCACATTCTCTCATTTTATTCATTGATTAAAAGAAGTCATTATCATTAATTGAATACGGCAACATTATCAGAAAAATTTTATTCTACTATCAAGGTAAATGACGTAGTGTAAAAGGTAAATTTTATTAATTGTGATTCATCTTTTGATTGTAAAAAAATATATGTGAGATTATGATTCTGTTTTGTTTTCTACTCGTTATATAAAATCTTTCCTATTTGCTGACCGAAGACAATGCTTAATCTTCTATATACAGTTATTTTGAATTTTTTCGTTAATACTTTTTATGATATTATGTTTGCTATTTCTTCGACACGAATAAGCATTAATGAAGAATGCCATAGTATTGATGATGGTCTAACCGAGCTTACTGATGACCTGAAACGAGTTTTAATTCGAGTGTGAGACTTGAATAGGGATCTTTCATCAAAATTTATTTGAATTAATTACATTATCATCCGAAAACGGCGATGATGATGCAAGAAATATAAAAATAAACAACTAGTGGATAATGAACTATTATTTCTTATGTTTGTACTTTTATACTTTAGTATGAACTATTTAATTTCTTCACCATTTGGTCTTTAGAGAAGAAAATACCGATTCAAACGATGAGTTTGTTTAAGAATGGGTATAAACATTACGATTAATAGGCAACTGTGTTTTGACATCGAATGCTAACATTTATTGATGGATGACATTGTATATTATTGTTATTGTTGGCGATTTTTCTTCTTTTTTCTTTGTAGGCTTTTTAGTATCAGAAAATAATTCAATTGAAAACTATTACACAAATTTAAGTCATAGAGTATGTCTCACGGTGAGAAAAATTGATTGTTACACGTTGTCTGATAATTATATGAGATTGATTGGTTGCGATTCATGCATTTATTCAATAATTGTTATGACGTATAGATGCAGTGTATGTATAAGAAAGTACATTCAACGTATTTGAAATTCAAGATTCATCTTTTTACATAAAAGACAATAAACCAAATAAACTGGAAGTCCAAATGATTTCGTTTGATCATTTTTACGCATCCAAATTAAAATATTAAATGAACAATTTACTGCAGCTTGGATCCTCACGACATCTATTTGAATCATAACCTCCTTTTTTGCGCCAATACGAAATGCATTGGCTCGAACACGCCTTGATGTTCAATGTTCACTCATATGTTTTGAATATTTCTCGAAAACCATAATACGTGAAAGATCAGTTGTATTTTTGTTAATATTTTTGTATAATTGTGTCTTTCAGATATTGGTTGTCTTTTAAAAACGATGACAGGACGAAAAACAATTGAATATCGATTGAAACCCGTCGGGAAAAAATCTGTTCGTTCATTTAAAAAGGTTCACAATCGACTAATCTTCGTTAGAAATCATTACGAAACGTCAGGTTCGTTGAAATTTGTCACTGCAGATATAAAAAACTTGTATTACAGGCAAATCAAAAGTTTAAAACAATCTTTCTTTTTTTAAGACGAGGATGAATCCTCAACAATTGAAGTTAGTCAATCAGTTCAATCTGCTGATATCGAGCAAGAACAAAAATTGTCAGGTATTAATATTGAAAATGAACCAATGCCTATCGAAATATATTCTGATGAAAATCAAGGTCTTATTGGAGGTAACTGTTCATTTGATTGATTTATCGACTTTCTAATAGATACGAAATAACTTGATATTTCAGACGTTGCACCTGGTACTACACAGTCATCAATAACTATTCTTGCTTCACACGATAAATCTACATCTATGTCACCGACACAGACGATGCCTGCCGTTGAAGATGATTCGTCAGATTCATTCTCTTCTTTGGGTAATAATAAACAGTTTTTGTGAAAGGAAGAAATGAAAAATCTGACTTAAATCGATTGCACAGATAATAATCAATTAGAATAGTTATTTCGCTCTTTATTTTATAAAAACTATTCCATGAGCTTGAGAAATCAGCTAAAGAGTGTTTTCAGGATTTAATCAATTAAAATGTACTGTAACTCAGAGCATGTCGAAAAATGAATTTATGTCTTTGTATCCCAATTGGAACTTGCTGATCTGAACGGTTTAATTGGTTAAAATAATTTTTTATGATGTTTTTATTCCGATTTGAATCAAACAGAAGTGAAACGTAAATTCAAACTGGGATATTGTCGATGTTAATCAGATATTTATTATTTCTTTTGACATGAAATGATAACTTAATTCACCTGTTTTTTATAGTCTGTTCCAATAAATCTCAATGTATTCATTCATGTCGTGCTTTATGTGCTCGGACATTCCGAGAGAATGTCAAGTTGAAGAAAGACATTGAGTATTATAAACTACATTGGATGCCAAAGTATAATGTTCATTTAATTAATATGTAAAAAGCTTTTTTTCTTCGATAGACCTGCAGGTTCACAAATGGAATCGTTTACAAAACCATCTGAAACTGAAAAGATTGATACATGTTTATCAACTACAAAAGCAATTGAAAAAGAGTTAGAAATTCAACGGAAAGTAGAAAAAATTTGTCATCGTTTGAAAATAACGAAAAAGCAATTGAAAAAGTGCAAAGATCCTGTTGATATTACGAAAACCTGTCGAGAGATTGTCAAGTGTATTTATCCTGAAACTGAAATTCAAACAAAAATGGCGTTGTCAAAAATGTCATCTGAACAAAAATTCGATATTATCGGTAATTTCAATAATAATTATGAAAAAAGTAATTAATCTTTTTCAATTAGAAATCGCGCACATCCTTCACCCAGATCAATGCGAGATTGATGACGGTAAACTACGGAACGCGATGGGAAATGTCTTTTCTGCACAGAAATTCAAAGCAAAGCATTTCAAATGACCAGTACAGTTATTTGTTGATCATATTTAGGATTTAGGTCAGGAACGTAATATCACGAATACCAAAGTGCTATTGTTGTTGTTACCTCTTGATTCAGGTTATTGAATCTATGAGAATGTTTTTCTATTCATAATGAAGATTTTCTAGAAAAAATAGATATAGTCGTGTGTGTTTAAGCTTTGAAACCATTGACTTTCACTAGCATCGTCCTTTGCTCTTTCATCACTAAATATCAATGTATAATAGTCTCCTATGATTTGTTGACATGCAAATTCCATATTATAATTGAAAAACACTTTTTAAACATCAGGATTATCATTGATCTACGGATATACATATCACTCCATTCAACAATAACTTGCTGCTTTCTCGTTCATCTATAGAAATCATTATCTAAGAAATAATCTGATTTTTACGATTTCAATGTGATATCCAACCTAACCTCATCGATATAAAAAACATGATCATAAAGCCTATTTTGAGATTATCATAATTTCTATCGAAAAAATACCGTAATATAATAACAGAAAACGAATCATATGTAAATTTTTCGCTTATTCGTACTTAATATCGATATTCGTTTAAACAAATATCGCTCATGATACACTCAAAAGAGTAAATAATTGTCGAACTATTTTGAAAACGAATAAACAACATTTGGCAAAGATAGGAAAACGATTCTTTGTTCTTTCTTTGACAAATATATGTAAAGCAAACTAGTTGACTTATAATTCAAGTCATTATTGAGAAAAATTTGATGGTGGAAATCTTATGAGAAAAGATTAGAACATCATTAAGATGATCAAATAGGAAAACCAAAGACAACAAAAATTGAACGAATAGGAAACATACATAAAACAACATGTAGAAATGAAACAATGACAAAATACATATTAAGAAAATCTAAAATAGAGCTAACACCATAACGAGACAAGGAGAATAGCTGAGATCGAAGGAGCAATAAAACAATACATTCAATTGTACATAAATTCTCAAAGTATCTTTGAGAATCACCTGATGCATAAGCAAATCACAAGAGAGAAAAAGACGAAGCATCCTCAAAGCAATACTTGGATTTTTCATCGAAAATTAGTGCATATAATAGATGATAATTATCACACATTTCCTCTTATTATCATTCAGAATTTTCTTAGACGCTAATATTTATATGATAGTTAGATATCTTTTTCTATTTCAAGTAAACAATAAAGAAAATAATAAAATGCCGATATTATCCAGAGTTAACTTTCTATTTTTACTTTTATAAAGGAATTCAATAGAATTTTGTACAAAGATGAAAAGACAATTTCGATCTTGATTTAGATAAAATCTACTTATTCTGTAATATAAAATAGGCTTATCGAAATAGAAGACTACTGCTAAGATGACTATTAATATTTTACAAAACCGGTGTTAATTACCAGTTCCCAGATCGAACAATCCCATACTCAAATCCCATCGGATCCAATATAGGATTTGTCGACCTGGGTTATTCTGCTCTGGGTTTTTACCAACTCTGGAATGAATATTTCATCTACGTCAATTATTTTGATTCTTTCAAATAGCAAGTAGACGTATCTCCTTTGGAAACAGCCAAGCCTATGAACGTAGTTCTACCATGTTTTTTCTACTTGACTCACGATGAATTTTATCCAGATATATCATTATGATTTGATATTCTTGAAGAAAATGTCAACTAATGAATGCATTTCAGTTTTAACGCATTTTAATGCAATCGAACGCGTTGTAGTAATCGATAGTCTGACTGCATAGGAGTTGACTATAATACAGTTTTCATCGGGGAAAAATAGATGAACTCATGAAGGATTGAATAAAGCTATTAGCATGATATGAACATTAAACTGGATACACACAAGATTCAACATTTAAATGCAGAAGTCATAGATAATAGTTCTGGCTTCAGAACAATATTTCATAGCGAATCCGTTTTACAATATTAAGAACTATAACGCTATCTAAAAAATCTGACATGTTTGACGAAAGAAAAAATTATATTAATTAATGCATGAAAAACAGCAAGGACCTGCTTACAGCCAGGTGCTCATCAAAACTCCTTCAATAGGACCGCCCACTAGTACTACTCATAAAAATCAACAAATATAGATTAGAAAACAATGGCCAGCTTTTATAAATATTTAGCTACAGAACGATTTTTCAAGAGTTCATCGAGCGAGAATTTCAAACGTACATAACGCAATTACTATATTTTCAGTCTCATAAGAACTCACTCAGAAAAGATAATATAATATTGCTTCCAGTAAATGTAACATCCGAACAATAAAAAACATCTCTATTATCCAACACCTCTATAGCTTCTTTTGCACCTACCGTACTCCTTCATTGAAGCGAACATAGATACACGATAACTATCATCGTGACACTCAATACATGTATACCGCCTATACCGCCTATACCGCCCTATACCGCCTATACCGCCTATACCGCCCTATACCGCCTATACCGCCTATACCGCCTATACCGCCTATACCGCCTATACCGCCTATACCGCCTATACCGCCTATACCGCCCTATACCGCCTATACCGCCTATACCGCCTATACCGCCTATACCGCCCATACCC